GCACCAAACCAACCCGAAGCCACGTGGCTTAGCAGGCTGGCAAGGAACACTGCTGCAGGGCCACTTCAGCCTGCACTGGCTCCCAAAGTCCCTCTGGCATTGCTGAGTTAGCGTACAGATAAACTCTCTCTGACTCCTCCTCCCAGGATCTCTTCATTTCTTCTCACCTCTCTCCACTTTCTAAGGGCTCTGGGCACAAGCAGGTAGGCAGCCACCTTCTCCATCCCTCCCTTCTGCTTTTTCTGCTTTCCACCAGGTTCTGTCCAAACAACCTCCCAGGCAAAGGGGGATGGGGAGCCCCAGACAGATGAGCTCATTGGGAGGAGGAGAGCAGAGGGAGGAGGGAGCTAAACATCCCAACCAGAGAGATGCTCTCCAGACAGTCCCAAGCTGGAGAGGGGTGTGTGCCCACTTCCGGGAGCGGGCATATGCTTTGCTTGTGCAGCTCAGAGACAGGGTGAGTCCTGGGCATCTCTTTATTTTGGGCCATGTTGGGGTGGGGTTTGAAGCCCCCTGGGGTAGTCTCAGCCACCTTACCTAGCACCCCAGAGCTGTATTCACCTCTGCTTCATGGGTCCATGTCCCTCTACTCCTCATCAACAGAGGAGGGGGCTCAGGAGGTGGGGGCTGGAGGCATTGGGGAGGGTTGTCACTCATCGCAGCTACTGCCCATGGGACCAGCATGTCCACTGATGGCTGGATGTCCCTCTGGCCCCCTAGACTGGTCCTGCCCCTAAGAAGCACAAAGTGGTATGAGTGCCCAGGAGGACTTCTAACTGTTCTGGGCCCATTTATCCCCTATGGACGTTTTAGTGTCTGAGCAGTGAGGGAGGGGGGATTGTGGATTAGGAGAGGAGACCCTGCCGAGGAAGAGGAGTCGGGGGAAGGGGAGATGAGAGAGAGGGAAAAGCCTGGGAGCAATAAAGTCTTCCCGGGGTGGTAAGCGACTTGAGGAAGTTGGACTGTGGCTCAGGCTGAGGAGGAGGGGTGGGAACAAAGAGCTGGCCAGAAGGTGAAGAAGAAGATTCCTGGGCTTTCTGTAATAAAGAAAAGAGCTGCAAGCCAAGAGGAAAGAGGGTGGCAGCAGAGACCCAGCTATTTGCACAGAGCCAGATCAAAGGGCCAGGCCAGGTAGGGGTGAGAAAACTTCACCCCTGCTCCCAGACACTTAGCTTTGCGGAGCAGCCCGTGGTCTTGTTGAATGAAGGTGGCTCACATTGCCTTCCCCCCACCCAAGCCCTCTGTCTCTGGACTGCAGGAGCCAGTCCACAGTCCTTCTTGTGGTGTGATGTGGTGACTGGATTCATGCGCCCCTGCATTTGGAGTGACCTTGGCAATTTCCCAGCCATGACGCCTTGTTTGTGTGTGTACTTAATGTAGCAGAACCTCAGGTTCCTCCTTTCTTAAAACAAGAAAGGAAGGCACATTTCAGGGCTTGTTCTGAGGATTAGGTAGGCTGCTGGACATAAAATACCTAGTTTGGTGCCAGGCACAGGATAGGTCCCTAGTAAAGAGAGGTTGTTTCTGTTGGTCTAGCCAATTGTCATTCTCCAGCCTTTTTAGGAGGGACATGGAAAACCACCAACAGGATTGGCCCAGTGGGAAACCATACAGTGTGTGTGCCCTGGGGGGTAGGGGTGGCTCACTCATAAAGCTAGAAGGGCTCAAGGAGAAGGTGCCGAAGAGCACTTTTCTCTTTTCTATGTGGCCTTGCCTGGAAAGACAGGAGTCTTTGCCCTGGCTGGTGGGCCAAGGAAGGCAAGTCAGGCTTGACCTGATCTTTGGTGAGAAGCCCCCAAGGGCACCTGGCTTCAAATGTCCCACCCTCTCCCAGCCAATGTCTCACTGTATGTAGGGTTTTCCCAACACCTCCCACCCCCACCACTGAAGAGCCAGGTAAAGAAGAATTAGGTAAAAGGAGTACGAGAGAACAGAGGTGACCTGGGCCAGACCACGACTGAGTGAGATGGCAAAGAGGCAGGCATGAGTCAGTCATATTTATTTTCAGGCAAGCAAAAGTTACTCCTGCTTTTATCATTTGAGCCCTAAAATGAGGACTGCCAAGGGTCGTTATCAGTCATTTTAAAGTGTGCTCTGGTATATAAACCTTCTCGACAACCCCCCAAGCTATGCTTAAATACCTTCCGGGACAGGGATCTCATTACCTCCAGACACTCAGCCCTCTGCACTGCTCTGACTTACACTGGATCAATAGCTGCCTCAGCCAGCCAGTGTTAATGCTTCACCTTGGGGCAGAATGGAGCGGGTCTGATCCCTCTGCCTTGTGGCCACAGCCCAGGCCAACAACTACGATCTACACTTCCCTCCTGGCTGAGCATGCTCTCTTTCTCTTCCTTTTTGCCCTCAGGAAGGGCTCTCAATCTACTAGGCAAATAGTCCCTAGTACCCTTGTCCCCAGTCCCTGTGCCATCTGTTTATGGGGACTTGTCCCAGCGGAGAAGCAGACACAGCTGTGGCTGGGATAAAGGTGACCCTGCCCGGGCTGTAAGGGGGACCTTCTCCTACGGAATCCCAAGGAGCCTGGCTGAGTGTCCAGTATCCCTTCCCCATTACCTCCTGGACTCTCAGGGCTGTATTGCCAGAGGAAAGGAAAAACTGCCCCCACAGGCCACCCAGTCCCCACCTGAAGCTCCTCTACTGTCCTACTTCAGCTCATCTATCCCCACCACCTCCACCCTTTCTCCTCTTTTTGCCACAGGTCTCCTCAGTCCTCCAGGGGAATGGAGTCCTGGAAAAGACCCCACAGGGACCCTCCCCAAAATCTATATGCTTGTCAGAGTGCAGGATGTGCATGTCAGTTGGGCATCCCCAACCTAGGCCTCTGGGACTCTCATCTCCTGGGCAGCTGGAGCCTCGCCCTGGCATCAGTATGGCAGCAGGAATCCAGGGTTGACTGGGACCTGGTGGGCATCAGAATATGGGTCTATAAAGTGGAGGCAAGCTCCCAGGGCTCTCTGAGAAGAATTCTACAGAGCCCTGCCAGCAGAGCTTCTGAGCCCCCAAGGTGCCAACAGTAAAGATCAGGAGACCTAGTGAGCTTGTCCTCCTGTCCTGCATCCAGCTGACCAAGCTGCATCCCTGCCTGCTTCTCTCACCTGAAGTATTTGAGTGGCACCTCTACCCCTGAAGGATGAGAGAGAAGCATGGGTGGGGACCTACATTCAAATCAGCCTGAGAAAGTCTTACTAACACTGTAGGAGTGGGACTCTGGGAAGTGGAGCTAAAGACATGTGTCTTTTCCTCCCATGGACAGCAGGTCAACCTAAGATCTTTGCCTGTGGAAGAGTCTTGGTTCCAGTCATTAGTCAGCTATGTGACTTTAGGTAAATTCCTTTCCCTCTCTGAAATACTGAGCCCGTAAGGAAGCATGAGTGAATACCTCTACTAGATCAACTCGCGACAGCAGGGGCGGGTAAGGCAGGAGCCTGGGCTGGGGTGTGTTGCTGTGTTGAGTTGTGCCAAACGCTAGACCAAACACTAGGTCTTGGCTGTGGGAGGAACAGCAGACTTGGAGCTAATCGCAAGATCCTGTCCTTGTGTTTGATGCAGCATGTGTCCTTAAGCAAGTTCTAGTCCTCAGTTTCCCCTTCAGGATGGTGCTTGAGCCAGGTATTCCATGGAGCTCTCCCCAACTCCTTCTGGCCCAGATTCCTGTCTCAATGTGCCATAACACTGGGTAGAGAAGAGGCAATGGGGATTGTTCTCATATACATACCTGCACCTTGGTTGCGGGACACAGGAAGCCAGGGACCAATTCTGAGTATCAGGGTAAGAGTTAGTCTTTCCTCCAAAGTCAGCCCACTCTGCAATCAAAACCACCCCTGACCCAGGTCCCAAGCAGGCCAGAGGATATTTAGGGAAGTACTTGAGCTAAACCCAACCTCCCAGAAGCCAAGTGAGGAAGATGCTGCTGCCCAGCTGAATTTCGTCCTGTGTTCGCCCTGGAAGAAACCAAACAGACTCCTCCCCAACGCTTGGCCCATGTCCCTTGCCTCAGTTTCCATATCTGTTGAATACAGAAACACCCATCTGAACATGCCATTCTTGGAAGAACTCTGGGTGCCAGGGACCAGATATCCTAAACCAAGGTCCGTTGGTTCTGCTAAGTTCAGCCACCTTTGCTTAATGCTACTGCCTCCTTTCTGGCATCTTGCTCAGGAAGCAGCTGTCGTAGTTTTCTGTTTTAGTTCTGTCGATCCTCCTGGATTCCTGGTATTCCTGATCGCCAGCCACAGGTAAGGGTCTCTGGGTCATCAGGGAGCAGGCAGAAAGGAGAGAATCTGCACAGTATTTCCTTATCGTTCAGCCATTTGAAGCTTTCTTTATCTGTCAAGCCTCCTAAGCAAAAGGGTGTGTGTGTGTGTGTGTGTGTGTGTGTGTTCTGGGATGGTGGAGCCTCTAGCCAGAAGGTTGGCTTTGATCTTGAACTTCTCAAAGCTGATTCAGCACTATGTAAATAGGATGCAGAAGTACATATGTGGATGTGACAGGAGCAACCTGCCTCTTCCCACCAGCCACTCTCCTCTGTGAAGTTGCACGAGGGCAGACTGAGCAGCTGTCATCTATTTTTCTGGAGTCCAGAGCCTGCACAAGAGCTGCTTGCCTAGTCAGACACTGTGGAGAGGAAGGATGGCCCATCTGTCCATGGAAAGAATAGGCAACATCCCCAGAATAGTCAGCCTTGGGCGCTAAAAGGTTGTCTTCCTCCCAGAAATAACCAAAAGCCCTCCCAGAAGCGGGAGATCAGCCACCCTGTCCCAGTGAGTTTCCCATGATAGGTGGAGTCCACCAAGGCTCTAGGGAGGTGAGGGGATGGAACATCTGTATGAGAGTAGAGTAGGTTGAGCTTTGAAGATGACAGATCTGGCTATGTTGGTGGATTTACCTGGAAAGGAGCACCAGGGGTCCCCATCAGGCTCCTGGCAAACCCTCAACATAGCCTACTCTGCACCCCTGAAAAAAGTCACACTCTAGACATGTCCAGTAGAGACAGTGTGTTTATTGTAGTCAACAGATGCAAGCAGTCACACAAACTATGGAAGAAAGTCTGCTCTCAGAAGCAGATACATCCCAGCAGTCAGGTCACAAAGGACCATTTAAGCTTCTCTCCCCTTCCAAACACCCCTTCCAACCACCACACAGCATGTAAAGCCTAGATGTGCATAAATTCTTCTTATGTAGCTGGGTTTTCCCCTCCAAGTGCACAAAAAGCAGTGAAGAACATTCCATAATTTGCCTTTGGTGAATCAACTCAAAGCACTGAGAAGTGATTACCCCTCCCCCTGCAATATAATTTCTGGGGTGGGTGTAGGGAGATGTTTTATATTTGTATATATAATATATCTATACCTATACAGAGAGGCTATGTACAAATACATCAGCAAGCTTCAGTAAAGGAAGACATCAGCAAGAGGCACAACAAGGGACACAGCCTGTCTATCCTTAAGACGTAAGTAGGAAGGAAGATTCCTCCACTTAACATCACTTTCTGTGGCCTGGGACTATCTTTTCAAACCTGGCCAGGATTTCCACTTGTCTACCTGCTTATGCTTAACCTAGCCTTGTCAATATTTACCAGCCCGACCTCCCCAAGGAGACTCATGGAGAGAAATATGGATCCAATCAGCTTTTCCTTTTCATAAAGTGGGAATAATAGTGATAAATCCATAGCTAGAGGGGCAGATAACTATTTCCCAAGCCAGTTCCAAGGCACCTCAAGGCATTTCAGTCCTGAAAAATTGTGCTTTGTTCTTGTAAGCTAAATCCCACAGGTAGCCAGCCCATCTCTCATTGCAGTGGCCCTTAATTAGGAGGAAGAGACAGATGGGGATGAGAGGGTTCTGAGAGAGGAGAGGCAGAGGTGGTGAGAAAGCCGACAGACTGACACCAGCAGAGCACAGTGGTGGGAGCATGCAGCTGGAAGTGGGGCCTGAACCCCACACTGCAGGACAGGCACGGATTGCTGGCCTCAGCTCGAAGCAGGGCAGAGCAATGGCTGCTGTGTGAACATCTCACTGGCTTCCCACTTCGACTCACAGAAACCCCGTTTCGCTCCCAACCTCGGTTCCCCGGGGGAGGAAGCTCTGAGACCTCTGGAGAAGGACCTAGGAGGCTTAAGCAAAAAGTGCATGTGAGGCCACGCACCTGGAACAAAAGAAGCTCAGGCCCTTGGGGACCACAGACAAGAGGCATTGCTTTTCCTGGGCCCCAACTGCTCAGGGCAGAGAGAGACAGAGAAAACTCAAAAGGCGTGAAGGAGAGTTAGAACTTCTTAGATGGAACCTAGGGAATCTTGTAAATAACCCCTCTGAATCTTGTGAGTCTTGGGAAAAGAACAATTCCCGACATCAGCGCAGATGCCTCACTCATCCTAGGAGAGGAGGATGTGTATGAGGTGACTAAATAATGAAATCTGTCAGCCGCAGCAGTGTACACCACCATCCTTGATCCCAGCTGGCCCGAGGTGCCTACCACCCACCTCGCTGGCCCCAGCTGGTTGGCTTGGAGGATGGGCAGCATCCACCTGCTCCAGGCATCTGGTGGCTTAGCCCACCCCCGTTGGCAGTGTGTTGATTGGCAGTTAGGTACTGAGTGATGAGTTTAGAACTCCCTGGGGCTGGGCTCGCCTCACCCAGGATTTCTCTGGCTGGTTGCCTGTCCCTGACTGCAGGCCCTCTCTGCCTGGCCTCTGTACCCCTGTTTGCACTTGTATTTGCCCTCTTCCCTGTTCAAGGCCCTGATTCTAAAATTTTTTCCTTCTCAACTTTCATCCTAGAAGTAGTGGCTGTAGAGGTGGAAGTAGATGCACCAAAAAAATAATAAAAATAATAATAATAATCTTGATCCTACAGTGCTGACCTGGCAGTCTCCAACTCTGTTATGGCTTTGTGTGTGTCCCTAGCACCCAGCACAGTGCCTGACACAGAGCAAATGCTCAATAAATGGGTGTTGAACTGAAGTGAAGCAAGCTGAATCTCCCATACAATATTGCGCTCACCCCAAATTGGCCATCTGATAGGCAGAGGCAGGGATTGGTCCCTGAGACTGTCACCATCCCTTGCTGTCTCTGTCCTGTGTTCCCAGACTCTGGCACCTAACTCCCTGAGCTGACAGGCGCTGGGCTCCTGGGAGAGGAGCAGGGCTAGGTGAGCACCCTCACCCTACCTCCCCCGTCCACCAGACCCTAGAGGCCCACCCACCAGGAAAACTATGGCTCTATTGATTCAAAATGGAGGTCCAGGTGCTGGAGAAGGAGGCAAGACCCTCGGTCTCCCGTCGCACGGATCTTCCACTCTCCTGTGGCATAAGACTCGGCTAACCCCCGAAGGTTCTCTGAGTTGGCATTTCTGACCCAATCCCTCTCCTTCTCTCCAGTCTAAAGCAATTCCATTTTAATGTGAGTAAAATGGCAGTGAAAGTTGGCTCCCACAAGTACTGATCTCTTCCCCCACAAACACAGCTGCCAGAGCAGACGGGCAAGGGAGCAAGTGACAGGCTCTAGGTGGGCCAAGGCCAGCCCCAGGGCCCGGAGGCTCCTTGGCCCCTCTCACACTGCCCTCCAGCCTTCCCACCTCCAGATGCAAACCCTACCGAGGGCAACTGGAAAGTCTAAACCCAAGGCCTGAATCTTGGCTCTTCTTGGCCCAGGCAAGGGTGGTGGCCCTGGTAGAGAAGGCAGCCTGGAGCCAACCCCATTAATGACAGAGCCCCACTCCTCAGTCCCTTAGCCGGTCCTTGAGGGAGAAGCATGGCTCTACCTGGAGCTGCTTCTCTAGTACCGTCCTCAGCAGCATCCCCAAGAGGTCAGTAGCCGACAGCAAGCCGAAAGCCTCCTAGGGGAGCAGCTAACAATGGAAACAAGAGCCAGAACAGAGCTCCCAGGGCCAAGGTTTGTGCCGGGTTTTCCTCAGCCCTAGCTTTCCTTCAGTGTCCTAGAATTGCACCATCATCCCTTTAACATGCCCTCCCAAAATTATGGAAGCCCTCCTCGCCCGCAGCCTGAAAGGCTGCTCTGGGCTGGGAGGAGCCCGAGGGGCACAGCAAGGCCACAGCCAAGGTCTTCTCGAGGGAGCTCGGGTCAGCACAGGAGGGCTCTCGCTCCCCACCCCAGGTCCTCCCTGAAGCCACTGCCGGACCCCTCCCTACACGGCTGGACAGCTGACTTCCTCCACCACTGCCTGCCCTTGCCTCACTGTTTCTGGGACCCCCAGACATGCCTCCTGCCTCTTCTCAGGGACTGGCAGGGTGGAGCCCCTCTTCTCCTCTCCCCAAGGCCCGCACATCCTGGACTCCATGGTAGGTTCTCAGATGGAAGAGAGGTGTGTCGCTCTTGGTACAGGGTGTGGGGTACGAAGTGAGGGGTTCAGGAGGCCCCAGGGGTGCCCTGGGGCCCTGTTCAGGAGAAGCACACCAAGAGAGGGCAGGCAGGGTCACACGTACAGGGCAGAGTGGGAGAAGGCAGGACACAGGGAGGGGCTGCAGGGGTGGCCCTGTTACTTGGCGCCGTCGTCCACGTTGCCCTCGCCATCCGTCTTGCCCTCCTCCTCGGTCTTCAGGTCATCCGTGCTTAGCTTCTGCTCTTTTTTCCTCCTTACACACTTGACCACCATCAGCACCAAGATGACCACAGCTAAGAAGCCTCCCACAGAGGCACCCACAATGACCGCCACTGTGGAGTCCCGCTCGGGGGGTTCTGGGGAAGCAAAGAAAGCAGATTCACTGAGCACAGGGGCTGAAAAGGGGTCCTCTTCACCACTCCTGCTCCCCTTTACCCAAAGCCTAACACCAACTCAAGCGACTGACCGCTAAGCACTCCCACCCTCGAATTCCAAGGCACCACAAAGCCTCCAGAGGAGTCGTTAGAATGCAGTGCTTAAGAGCACGGACTTTGAGATCAACTAGACCTAAGTTTGACTCTGGATTGTACAATTTTATGAATTGTGTGACTGTAGGTAACTTATCCTCTCTAACCTCGTTTCCTCATCTGTGAAATGGGGATCCTAAGTGTACCTCCCTTATGAGGTTCTGATGAGGATGAAATGAAATACAGCCTACCAAGTTTAATTCAGAATGAGACACAGTAAGTGTCCAACAAATGAAAGCTGCCATTATTTTTAAAGTTGGGCTCAAGATCAGTATCATTCTAAGGAGCCTGAGGCCGGTTTCCTCAAGGGCCAGAGGGAAGAAGGTGGATGCTTTCTGCTCAGCTCAAGCTGTACCTCCACCCTCATGCAGGGACAACCTCCCACGCGCCCTGAGCTGGCCCTGCAGATGGCCAGGGCCCAGCCCTCACCTTCCAGGAGGACCTGCAGGTAGATCTTGCCGTGGCCCCGGTGGCGGTCTGGCGGGTTGGTGACGTAGCAGTTGTAGATGCCCTCGTCCTCCAGCTGCACACTCCTCAGCGTCACTGACACATCGTACTTGCTCGGGTTCCCTGAGAACTCCACGCGGTCTCGGAACCGGTCCAGCTTCAGGTTGATGATCTTCATGCGGAACTGGAGGAACTGGAGGATGGAGCAGGGGGTGGGGTGGGCCGCTGGATGCATAAGGAGCTACAGGTAGTGGGGGGCACCTCTTCCCGTGCACCCTTTTATCTGGGAAGAGAGGCAGTTCCCCCAGAAGGGCCACCTCGACATGGTGCATGCCTGATGTCAAAGCCCTCTGCAGCAGATGACCCGCCCAAGTCCTCTGGAGCCCGGCTCCCAGCAGGGACAGGGATGGGGAAGGTGACCTCATGTTGTGGAACCCTTATCTCCCCGTGCCCTGGCACTCACCATCTCCTCGGAGCAGTTATTACATTCCTGGTACGTCCAGTTCAGGGAAAACTGCTTGTGGTTCACGGTGTAGCAGGAGTTGAAGGTGCAGGACAGGCGGGCATCAGAGCCATTGAGAATACTGAGGGTGGTAGGGACTGTGACCTCCATGCTCCGCCCTGATGGCACTGCAGACAAAGCCAGGAGCTGGTGAGGAGTCTGGCCGACAGGGTCAGGAAAGGGCAAACCCCTCTAGCCAGTAGGAGAGGAAGGGTGAGGCAGAGCAGCGCTGCGGCAGCCACTGGGTTATCGCTGCAGTTAGGCAGGAGGGGGTTAGAGAAGCAAATCAGCGGGAGTGCCGAACGCGGTCCCTGGGTCCAAGGGGCACAGAGCAATCGTGAGTGAAGAGTGACCAAACGGTCTATCAAGCCAGGGACAGACAGATGGTCCCCAGTCTTTTCCAAGACCTCTGCCGGGCAGCTCCTCCACCTGGCCCAGTACATTTGCCGTGTGAACAGGGCGTTTCACTGTGCTCGCCTCAGTTTCTCCCTTTGTTTCCATGTCTTCCTGACCATCTTTGCTAGGCCAAAGCACTTCCAGCTGAGGCTCCAGTGCCCCATGTGGGACGGGTAGCTGAGAAAAGACGGGGACTCAGGAAGCCTCAATGGCTTTCTATCCCCAGGAGTAGGGCAAGAATGTCCTAGCCCAGCAAAGCCCCTCACTGTCCCCACACTCTAACAGGAAGGAAAGCGGGCAGAGACGCCTTGGGGAGAGAGCAGTGTCCCAGAAGGGACACCGTTCTTAGGACCAGCTGATGGGCCTGTAGGAATAGGAGTCCATTTTGGAGATGGCAGTCATGGAAACTCCACAGCAAGGAGCTGGTACAGGCTGACAGGTGCCAGGGTGGTAAGCACAGGTCCTATGGGACCCGGGGAGGGGCACCAAGTCTGGCCAGGAGACAGGAGTGCTGAGCTGAGAAAGGCCCAGCCGGCTCTGGCATTCTAAGCAGTTCAGGGCCTATGGGAGGCAAGTGATGTACACAGGACATAGCAGACCACGAGGCATCCACTTTCAGGGTCACAAAAATACCTCCTTAAATATTACACTCCAGCATCTCACTTGCTCCACCCTACCCCTGATCCTGATTCTAAGATTCTCTGCCAATGTTAGCAAAGCCTCATCCCAAAAGATTAATTTAATGTTAACAGGGCTCAATGGTAGAGCGCTCATCTAGCATGCACAAAGTATGGAGTTCAATTCCCAGCAACACACACACACACACACACACACACACACACACACACACAATCATTATCAGTAACATGCAGCATCATTCATTCACTCATTTACTAAATATCTATAAGTTACCTACTATGTGCAAGGCCAACAGGGTTATCATGAAGCAGACACTGCTCGTATTCCGGTGAGGGGGACAAGCAGTAACCAGGAGAAGATAAGAGTGTGATTGTAGGGAACGATCCATGCCGTGGGCTCTGAGGACCAAGACAGGCGGAGAGGAGTTGTTTTATTCAAGATGGTCCAGAGGACTACTGGGAGGGGTTGGTGTGCAGCAGTGCCCAGCTCACGTGAGGGAGGAAGCCACTTCAAGCTGTGAGGGAACCAAGGATCATGGCAAGGGGAGCACTGAGGACCAAGTTCCAGTGGCTGGAACAACTCCATGCGTCCGAGGCAGAACAGAGGGATCAAGGGGTGAATAGTGAGGTCTGAAGTCGGAGCACAAGGCTGGGACTGGGCCACAAAAGGCCAGAGCATGGAGTTGGGATGCATGCTTCTGAGTGTAACAGGAAGCCACTAGAGGGCTCAGGGGTGGGCTGAGGGCAGGATGCCTGGCTGGAATTTCAGCCCTTGATATGGGGACAACATAGACAGAGGAATCGATTAGACTTGGATTCCATCCCAGCTCTGCCGCCATCTGCTGGCAGAAGGAAAGTACATAAGCTCCTCCAGCTCTATGCCTCAGCCTCCTCCCTGAAAAACAGGCCGGTGATGCCCTTCTTGGGGTTGTTATGATAACTAAAGCAAGCAGGATATGCTCATCAAATGGTGCCTGTTATTATTTTGCATTCTCCTCAAGTTCTACCTCATGCACAGGAAGGGCTTTGGAGGGGCATGGAGTCCAGGCTGCAGGACACATAGGAGAAAGACCCCTCAAGCTAGCCCCTTGGAATTCTCTCAGATCTGGCAAAGGGGCCAGGCTGCAGGGCCCATAGTCTTCAAACTGGTTGCACAAAACTGCTGGATCCTTCCCCAGAAGTGGCAGCCCTGCAGCCTGGGAGCTGGGAAATCAAAGCTGGTTCAGAGCACCCTTCTGCTCACCCCAGGGGCAAGAGGCAGGGCCAACTGGCAGAAGTTAAGGGCAGGAGAAGCTCTAAACTGCTACCCCCTCTACCGAGCCCGGGATGGAAGGATAGGCAGTGGACCTCACCCTCAGGGCAAGGACAGCAGGTACGAACTAAGTGCTCATTAGGGGAGTGCCAACTAGGGAGGCTGAGTGGGCCCCACGGGAGGAACAAAGCCTAGTTCCCATCCCCTGCACTTTCATATCCATTCTAAAAGAGCTTGGCCCGGTACCAGGCAAGGAGGAGGTGTGCAGAAAATACCAACACCACCCCCGCTCTGCAGAGGCTGAGAAATCTGCAGGAAGATGGAGGCTTGTCCTGAGTTTACCTTCTGTCCCAGGAATGCCCTCCCTCTCTAGCCCCTTCCCTTGGAAGGGCGGCCACCTTCCCAGGGCCCCCTGGGCAAAAAGGAAGAGCTCTGCCACGTCTGCCTGGCCTTTTGGATTCCACCCTCCTTAGACCTATGTCCAACTACGGCAACCCCAGGCAGCAATCTAGATTCAAACTTGAACCCTACTCAACCGTTGCCTCCATTTTTAAGGGACCAGCACTGTACCGCTGCGTGAGAGAGCAGAACCCTAGGGAGGCCTTTCCTAGCTGGCTGTGGGGCACGGAGAGGTGCAATGCGGGCTTCTGTTCATCCTCCCTGCCAGAGGCACCGGGCTGGAAACGTGTGCCCTCTAGCGGTCACATAGGTCAAGCATCAATTCCCATCTGCAGAAAGGAGAAGGGGTCACCAAACTAGAGGATGCCAGAGCTGAGGGAACCCCAGCATTTGTAGATCTGGTGCCACGATTTTACCTCAGAGGAAAGAGGGACCATGGGAGAGACACACAGAGCATAGGAACAAGCTGAGGCCAGAATCAGGGTCCCTCCTAGTCCGAGACGCAGCTGAGGGCCTCGTCAGAAACCCAGAGGCTTAGGATGAGGGGCCTTGGGTCTTCCACCAGCCTGAGACCACATTAAAGACAAGGAAACATTTGCTCAAGGTCACAGTTGTGAACAGCATCCTGGTCTCCGGATTAACTCTGCTGCTTCAGGAAGGTATCGGATGCAGGACCACAGAGAGGCCTCCTATAAACACAGATGCCCACAAACTGCTGATGAGGGCCAGGCAAGGAATCAGCACTCAGCGTATGTTACCCCATCTATACTCAGAGTCACCCTATTATCTCCCCCACTTTCGGGGTAAGAAAATGGAACACAGCTGTTAAATGAATACCCTAGATTTCACAGCTAGTACATGACAAAGCTAAAATCTGAACCCATGCTGCCTGGCTCCAGACAGGTTAGAGGGGTCAAACCTGCACGGAGATGTGATTGTCATTCCAAGGCATCCTAGGGGACAAGTGTCCTGCAATCAGCATGACAAGCCCAGCCTTGTAACTTCCTGTCCCTAGCTCCAAGCAGGCTGACCAGCAGGGAACGGTCCTACTTACACAAAACACCTCAAAAGGGATCCTGCCATTTTCCTATAGTCCCCTTGGGACAAGGCCTGGGGTCTGAGTCTCCTGATTTCCTTCTCACCGAAAGGAAATCATCAACAGGGATACAGCGAGAATGTGACATCTGGTCTTAGCTCCAAAACATCACCAGTGCCGGGTACCCTCTCCAAGGTGCATCTGGCCCCCATGGGCCACATGTCACCCATTGTTCTGCCAGGCCCATCTCACAGAGGTCGTGAAAAGTTGCTTGTCCACCAATCTGGAAGTCAGTGCCCTTCACTCCCCTTTCCAGCCCTACAGCAACCGATGAGGTAAGTTTATCTTATCCTTGGTTGAAAAGAAAAGAGTATCTAAGCAGAGACATTGCCTCCTGGGGCAGCCCTTGCCTCTCAGGCAGGTGTGACATCCAGGCCACCTCCTCATTTGCTTGGCTTTAACATCCAGACTCTCCCTCCCCAGGTCTCCCCCATCCCTACCTCCCACGTTGCCAGGAGAAACTGGGCCTCACCCCTCTTCACCTCCCAACCTTCAACGGCGCCTTGCTGCTTTAAGGACCGAGTCCAGAATTTGGCACGGAGACGGCACAGCTCCCGAGCCCTTTGCCCTCTGAGACCAACCTGTTCCCAGTCTCATCTCCTGCCAGCTCCCACCCCTCAGCCCTTCACTGCAGAGACCCCAGATTCTGATCTTCCTACAAACGCTGCCCTCTCGCCCCCTCCAGGTCTTTGCACATGATTTTGCTTCAGGATGGGGAACTCAGCCACCCTCTGCCCCGGGTTTCCCCCACGTGTCCCTTAGATGCCAGCTTCCCCACCTCCTGGCCCCTCCCCAGGCCTGTTCCTCTCTTCCCTGTTCCCCATTGTAACTTGGAGGCAGAATGGTGTACGGGTCAAGTCAGGGGCTCCAATGCCGCATCTGGTCTCAGGCAACAGTTAATTTTCCAACAAGTCCTTTCCTCACCTGTCACATAGGAGACAACAACAGGGCCTACCTCCAGGGGGCGCCATGAAGATTAAATGACCCCCTACATGTATAAGACTCAGCCTTGAAGGGCCTAACATAGCCCTTGACAAAAGGCGGCTGCTCTTATTACCACTGTTGCTAATATTGCTACAATGCATAAATTGTTGTGTTGCTATTACTTGTTTATGTGTTTATGTCCCTCAAGAGGCTTTGAGGACCTAACTGACTCTTACCATGATTTCCTTGGCCACCATAACAGTAAGTGCTCAATAAAATTCTGTTGAAAGCTAGGCATGGCGGTGCATGCCTGGAGCCATGACACTCAGGAGGCTGAAGCAGGAGGATCACTGCAAGTTGAAGGCCAGCCTGGGCTATACAGTGAGTTCAAGGCCACCTTGAACTAGATAGTGAGACCCTGTCTCCAAAAAAATTTTTGTTGCTGTTGACAGAAAGGAAAATCTTTTCCCTCCATGTCTAGGTGCCTGTCCCCACCAGCAGGTACGTGCTGTGGGCTTGAATGAGGACTACATTCCACTTTGCAAGCCTCCCCTCCCATGCAAGCCTCCCCTCCCATAAAGACTTTGGTAACCAGGGACATAGCTGCATAGTCAATGGTTTTGAGGAAAACTCCAGGGAGCCCAACCATTCACAAAGTTTCTAGCTAAAATTAGACTCCTGTGCTTGTGCCGCGGTTACAGCCACTTGCCCAACCTGCTCTTTCTCTTTATCAGTTCTACGATCATCACCACAAGCCCCACCCATGGCAGTCCCCTCCCTCAGCATCCACGGCACTCCTTCACCCCAGTGACTGATGTGGCTACAACCACCAAAGTTCCATGGCCCACGCTGCCCACAGCCTTGGAGTCCAAGAGGGCATCAAGCTCAAGTTCAAGGTCTCCCGTTCCTGCAGTCTCCAGGTCTGGTGAGGTTTTAGCTTCCTCCCTCACCCCTCACAGCCCCTACATCCAGATCTCTTTGTCCCAGGCTCCATCTCCTCCTCAGCCCGAAGTTCCTGGTCCTGGCCACCAAGCCCCTTGCTTTCTTCGCTTAGAAATGACTCTCACAAGTCATCTTCCTTCTCATAGAATGCTCTTCCTAACTCCTGAAAGAAGGTGACTGTCCTTCAGCTCCAGGCTACTCACCCAACTGCCCCCTCTTTGCCTGCACTTGGGATTCCAGAGCCCCTTACTGTTAACGAAGCAGTACCACTTCTTGACTAGTGAGGGCAGTAGAGTCCCAGCATTTAAGTCTATCATTTACTGAAGTCAGACACACAGCAGTTCAAATCTCAGCTCCACTTTTTGCTGGTCATGTGACCTTGTGGACAAATTACTTAACTTGTCTGTGCCTCTGTTTCCTCCTTGCAACATGAGTATAATAACAGCATCTACGTCCAACAATTGCTATTAGCACTGAACATGAGCCCTGTGCCTGGATTCATGAAAAGCCGGTCCACCTGCTTTTGGAAACCCACCGAAGCGAATATCCTTTCAACAAGGTTAACCACTGCTGACCCTGCTATGTGCAGGGCACAAACTCACCAGAAGGAGGCACTGTCCAGCTTACCCACGGAGACCTGAGGTTCATGTGAGCTGAGTAACTTGCCTGTGGTTATTAATCAATAACAAAGGTGGCTTTAAACCCCAAGGTGAAGCTTCTACATTTCTGCTCTGTTTTCAATATGTCGACTATCTCAGCAAAGCTAATAGACCTGGTGCAGGCTGCCAGGGGCGCCGCATGACTCTGGTTAGCACTTCTGCCCAATGCTCAGCATACAGAGAGAGACTTTGTGACCAGGGACATTCCCACTGGCAATCCTTGGACTTCACCCTTGGTAAGCGATGAGTCAGTTTAACAGCAAGAATGAAGCTATGTATGAAACAGCTTTCAAATAACTTTCTAACCCACCTGCCGATCGGGAAGTCTATGAATGAAATATGAAATATGAAATCGACATCTGGGGGCCACTTGACAGGACCGGAAGACACATGGAGCTGAACAGTTGTAAGACCGCTTTGAAAGGGCCCGGCCTCACACAGCCCCAGGGTTCCTTCTCTTCCCTTGAATGTCTTCCCCTGGCCCTCTCCCCTTCCATCCCGCTCCAGCCAGAGGTGCCTCGGGCATTCGTGCCTGGCTCAGCCGTCCTCCTCCCCGCTCAGGGACTGCTCCTCAAGCCTGCTTCCCACCCGTTCTCACATGCATTGCGTTCCGACAAATCAGGGGAACAGACTTTCAGGATGCCAGACCCAGACTCAACTTTCTGCCCCCGACTCTCCCAAACACTATTCTTTTAATACCCTGAAATCCACCAGATTTCAAGGATCCACGTTCACGAAAGAAGTCCTTCGAAGAAGCAGTAAGTCCCAGGACCCTCCATCGGCAACAGCAACAAAAATTAAAATTAAAAAAAAAAAAAAATCCACAAAGACTCGGAGTATCGTCCTACCCTCTGCCCCACCCCCCACATGGGTCCACTGAGGGAAATCCAAGAAAAATCACCTCCCTTGACAATCTTCACCCTGCAGCAACACTCGGACCCCCGACCCAACATTTCTGTGACCAAGCAGTCCCCGCAGTGTGCAGCCTGGGCGACGTCCCTCCAGCCCCCCACACCTCCCTTCCCAAGGACACGGAGGGAAGCGCTAACAGTGTCTCTCTTCCGTTCTGCCCCCTGCCCGCCTCCTGTTCCAGGTGTTGCGCCTCTGAACCCTCGGGAGCATGCAGATGTGGGTCTAACTTACCCAAAGTGAAAAAGAGACCGAGCCCCGCGAGACTGGAGGCAGGGCGAGGTAGCCAGGCGTCCCTGCGCATTTTCGCGGACTGAGATGTGAGGCGGTGGGCTCGGGGAGAGGGGTGGATTGAGGGACCAAGGACTACAGGGGAGGAATGGTTAAATGCTAAAAAAGAAGATGCACGATGTACTTCAGAGACATGTACAACATCAAGGAAGCTTTATTTCCATCTCTCTAATATGGCCGACTTGTATGTGGCTGCTAAAAAGAGAGGGGGAGTGTGTAACGGAGAGAAAGAAAAAGGGGGATAGAGTAAATATTATGGTTGGTGGATTTCAGAAAGCAGGTGGGAGGGCATAGAAAGTCTCTCCGCAAAGGACAAAGTTGCCAGGGATTTTTGCCCTCTGAAACAAGGACTAAAGCAAATACCCCTTCACTTGGAATGATTTTTGGACTTTGAAAGCTACTAGAGGAATCCATTTATTTCAAAGCTGCTATAAGGGGAGAGGCTCTTTTCATTTAAAATCATCCCCTCAAAAGGCCAAAAAAGGAAATATTTGTTTTTGTGGTATTTGGAAAGAGTTCAGGCAAGTGAGTCAGAGAGAATTTCAGGAAGTAATGACTTCCTCATTATTCTAGCATTTCCCAGGAAAACAGAACGTGCAAAGAAACTTGTGCAAAAACAACAATGCAACATAGACCCTTGCGGGACCCGCATTCAAACACACCAACAAGGAAAAACATTTTTTAGACAACAGGGAAAAAATAAATATGGCCCAATGTTAGATGATATTAGTGAATAATTCTTAATTTTGTGCAATGTGATTAAAAATATATTGTCGTTATGTTTTCAGTGTCTTCATTGGTTAAATATACACACCGGAGCGTTTATAGGCGAAGTGATATAGGGACTAGAATTAGCTTTAAAATATTCCAGAAAAAAATAGAAAGAGAAAAGAGGTTGGAGAACTGGAGATCATCAGAGCAGACAGCTTGATGGTCCGAACTAACTGGTGGTGGGTAAAGCATCCATTATCCATGTTCTTTTTTTGTGTGTGACTGTATGTTCAAAACATTTCTTTTGAAAAGGGAAGGAAATAGTGGGTTGAATGTCATAGATGGGGGAACTGAGGTGCAGGCATAGCAAGGTGGTGGTCAAGCAGAATACAAGTTCTCTGCAGCAATCGCATGCTTTAGTGAAGGGCCACCCATGAGCCAAGGAGGGAGGAAGGCATGTTTCCGGGTGCCAGCTCTGTGCCTAGTACTTGGCATATAGTATCTCATTTTAATCTTAACCCTTAATCTTTCTTTCTTTCTTTCTTCCTTCTTTTCTTTTTTACTTCCTTTCTGCCGCTGTCCCTTTAATTGTAAATGAGGAAAAAGAGGCTCCCAGGACTTAATTCACCTGTTTACACATGGTAGTTAGGGGCCAGGATTTAAACCAAGGCCTCTGTGAAGCACTGGGTATTTCCACTACTCCTCGTTGCTTATTACCCAGGGCTGGAGACAGAGAGCCAGCCCTGAGGTTGTTCAGAAGCCCAGAGAAGGAAGGACTAGGAGGACAGACAAGAGCTTGAGCATCTGCAGATGCGTTACAAAGGTGCAGAGGGCAGGATGTGGAGGAATGCAATGGGAGTGCTGCGGTGCCTGGCAGAGTAGGCAGTAAACAGGTGGCCACCGACTGCACAGGGCTGACCAGGCTGCTGAAATCAGACTGCGTGCAGGAAGTGCAGTCCAGCCAGGATCACTAGAGAAGGGGTAAAGGGAGCCAGAGTTCAGAAGCAGCTGCCAGCAGGCAGAGGAGCAGGTGTCTGCATGCCCTCCGTGCGCCAGCCAGGATCACACACAGACTGTCCCCAGGAGCCTCGGCCACTTCGGTAGGCTCTGGCTGCAGAGGGATGGTCCAGGGAAGGAATTTCAGGGGAAAAGAGGAACTGTTAGCCGGGAATAAAACACCTCCTCCAGTGCTTCCCCCAGACCCTATCTCTATCGCCCTCTGACCCCAAGGCTCCACCATCCTTCCACAGTTCACAAGTGTGCCAGGAGGGATGGGCTGGCCGTGGTAAGACCCCCTCTCCACTCAGTCCCATCCCACCACATCCCAATTTGCAGCACCAGCCTCCAAGCTGCCCCAGACACTTTTCAGCCCAGCCCTGCAGCCAGAGATTTTTGGTTTGATGTAGCCGGCCTCCTTCTTTTTCTTAATGCAGCCAAGGGTGCCTGTGAGGCCCAGAAACTGAAGGAAGCAGCTTCTCCGGCTCACTTGACTGCAACACCAGGTCCAGAGGCTTCTGTTCGGGAGGCAACTGAGGCAACAAATGAATTCAGCCAGGCATAGTGGCCCGGGGCTATAATCCCAGCACTTGGGAGGGTGAGGCAGCAGCAGAATCAAGTGTTCAAAATCACCTGAGCTACAGGTCAGCTTGGAATTTGAACACTTGTTAAATTCCAAGCTGACCTACAGAACAAAAGGCTGTCTCCAAAAAAAATAAAAGGATCCCAAAGTTCTTATGCTTTTGTGCAGAATTTGGCTAGAGAAACTAAGTATCCAGAGGTAGAATAACCTTTGTCCAACTCAGCCCTCCAGGCCCAAGGCCAGGTAGAGCTAAAGCAGGACCGAGGGGGCCTGGCAGGTGGAGGCTGACAAGAGGGAAGGAGAGCTGCTGCAGAACCCCCAACCACTTGTGTCCTCGGGTACGCCTTTGCTGCAAAGGAGTAAGCCTTCCCTAGAAGCCAAGAAAAAGGCTGGGCAGCAGAAACTCAAAGAGGTGTTTTGTAGAATGAAGACACCTCTGTCAAAGATGGGCTTTTCTAGGAGCGAAGCCCTATGTTTTTGGCATTTCTGCCCAGTGCCATTTATCGCTCCAATTTTATTGCACAAAGCTCAGTTATGTAGCCAGCTGGGAGAAGCAGTGTTTCGAGTAACCCATAGGAAGCAGTCTCCTTTTGGTGTTAGTATGCTTTGTGAAGGCTACGAAGAGCATCCTAGTTAACACTGGCTCTTGAGCCTAACTTCTGAAAGTATGATTCCTGGGCCAGCAGCAGCAGTGTCACCTGGGAACTTGTTAGAAATCCAGCCAGGCGTGATGGCACACACCTGTAATCCCAACACTTGGGAGGCTGAAGCAGGAGGATTACCGTGAGTTCAAAGCCATCCTGGACTGTATTACGAGTTCAAGGGCACCCTGAGCTACATGGCAAGACCCTGTCTCAAAAAAAAACAAAAAAGAAAGAAAAAAGAAATCCAGAGTTATAGGCTCTACCCCAAGCCCAAAGAATCAGAATCTGCTTTTTTCTTTTTTTTTTTTCCCCAGTACCAGGAATC